GTCAATAAAAGGGGCCACACCAAGGCAATCCGATTCCCACATAGGTCTTGGTCACTTTGCTGTTAACATTGATGAGGATCCAACGTTATTCTCTTCAATAAAGCGCAAGTGTGAGTTAGGTCCTCTAGCATTGCTAGGAATCCTCTTCCCAACCTTGGAAGAAAGACTTTTATATAAAGCTACCTTTTTCCCCTCTTGTAGGCACCTCAAAGCCAGTTACCCCAACACCAAAGTCCTCTGACTACTTGCCTGTGCCCACTCCGACAGATGATAAATCACCACTGACGGTGGCAGCTTTTGGTAAGGTCTTGTGCAACCTGGGGAGAGGATGGGGGGGTCTGTTTCTCCAGGCCACACTGTTTTGGACACCCAGCTTCAAAGATGCTTCCCTGGAGGTGGCTCCACAGTTTTCTTCTTCAGCGTGCCTAATCCTGGAGTTTTCAGAGTGCAAGGGAAAACCCTTGAGAAAAAGACTTGTCACCAGCAGGCAATAAAGCACCTAATAAATACTCCCAGCCATGCCCAGTATACAAGGGACAGACAATTTGGAAGTCCTTCATGGCTACGCCCGAGCTTGGGATCTCGCTCCCAGCACCAGTGTTTGCCCCAGCTCCATGTTAAGACAAGACCTGGGCACAAATGATCCCATGCTATGCCTTGGTTTCCCTGACAGGGTCTAGAACAAATACACTACCTGCCTGGAAGCTTAGACAATTTTTTTTCCCTGCAAACCTGTTGGGACTGCATTCCCACCCTGCCTTACTGCCTTCCCCTCTACGGTTGCACCCTGCTTGGCAGGAAGCAGCCAAGTCCTCCGCATCCTTCAGACTGTGGAAGGATGGAGGAAGAGATGCCATACCTTAACCTGGCAATAGATTTGAAGATAGGCACGGGGTAGATTTAAGAGACCCGCTCTGCCTTGGGCTATACTGTCCCCCTCCTCCATGAAGACGAGCAAAAATACCAAAAAACCAATTTGCTCATTTCTATCACACTATAGGAAAAAAGAATTATTTCAGAAGCATTTTTAGAAGTCAAGTGTTAACTTCATAAGTATCATTTGCTTATATCGTCCAAGGGAAGCCACGAGAAGTCCTGAAGCAGTCTTAACAGGACAAGATTCCCATGCAAAGAATAGTTTGATTTATCGAGGCCAGATGTATGAATCAAATCTGCAGTTGGCCACTGGTTTATGAGGCAGATAACATCATTCACAGTCTTTAGCTTGTCTCTCCCCATTACAGTACGTATTTATCTGACTTTATACACCTTTAGGATAAGATTTACCAACTGTAGTAGGGACATACTGACTTCAATCAGTCCCCAGTGTAATCAAGCTGACTTCTGCCCTCCTGGCACTGCCTTAACAATTAAGTATTCATCAGAAGCCCTTTGAGGCTAAAACACAAGAGGATAAAGCTATTCGCTCTAGTGACTACTTACTTCTCTGCCTATTACGTACCATGCTCATTTTAATGAAAATATTTATTTCCTGCCCAAGTTTTGATGACAGTCAAAGTCTCTCTGCTACCCCAGAAGCCGAGGACAGGCACGTTGTTATATCAGTCACAGACAGTTCTTTCCTCCATCCCCAGGTGTCATCAGCTTCATAGTTATCCTGATAGTGGTTGTGATCATTCTGGTCAGCGTGGTCAGCCTGAGGTTCAAGTGTAACCGCTCAAAGGACTCAGAAGGTATTGGCCTGGGGCGATCTGCCTTTCCCTAATCAAAAAGTCATCAGTTTCTGCATGGATCTGACAATTCCTAAATGATGCTTTTAAAAAGCTTACACGGTGGGGAGGTTTTGAAGCCAAACTGGAACACAGATTCAGCAGTTAGGAATGTAGTGTGACCACCTCTTTAGAGCCCCAGCCCAGACCCATCTGCACAAGGACACAGTCTCAAGTTTGCTGCAGTTAAATGTGCAGATTTCCAGAGGTGGGCAGCTCTTCCAGCAAAAGCCATGGAGTTTGACACTCCTCTTCCCTAGGAATCCCATTTCCCACTAAGCAGTGCCCACTACAGGGCAAGGCTGCTCTACAGCAAGACAGGTAACTGCCAAAAGACGGAAGGATGCTAGTGACTAAACAGGCAGCAAAGCATTCAGTCCTGCCTGTATGTCACGTTAGTTGAAGAGTTTTCTCTAATCAGCTCTCAAGTATACCCCATGGCGTCTCTAATCTCATTTGGATTTCATTTATAACCCTGTACGACGTAATTCTGAATATAGATGACTTATTTTATTGCTTGGCTGTGATCTTTTCTCACCTCTACATCACCAACTGCTTTTCTCCCTCCAGACAAACAGAAACCAGGGACCTCCATGGTATCAGACAGGTAAGGCTGCTCACACTATTCACATCCTATTGAAAGTGCCTATTTTATTCCAGAACTAATTTTAGTAAGGAAAAGAGGCTGCTTTGGTTATTTCGGGTGGAAGGAAGCATTTCAAGACATCTTTGAGACAGGCAAAAAACCAAAGTGAGCATTGATAGCACCTCATCCTCTGCCTGATGGAGCCAAAGGTAGAAGTTCAATATTTAGGGGCCTCATTTCAAAGCTGCACTGATACCTGTGAAGACTCATCACCTTCCAAAAGCAGTTTGCTTGTCTTTCTTTGCCTAGATACAGACTTGAGGTCTAAACCTGGGTTTCTGGATCTCAAAGCACCCTCAGTGAGATGAGATGAGATGAGATCAGGTCCTCAAAAATATCTTCCAAGATGCCTATTACTGTTATCTAGCAAGAGCAGGATAAGGGGGCACCAATACAGACACCTTTGGACGAGAAGCACCAAACAGAGGATGGTCCATCTGAACCCCATGGTCGATCACTGCCACCCAAGAAGAGAGGCTGCACGTGGGAAAGCAGCAGGAAACAAGAGCTGGAAGGGACCAAAACATGTTGCTCCTACTTTTCCATCTGATAGTTTCTTATCAAAGTAACAAACCCCGCTTTGGAAAGAGGCAAGGGACACAGGGAGCAAAGTCCCGAAGTATTTAGGTGCCAAATTTGCATCAACATCAATGGTTCACAAACACCCTTAACAATCATGATCTAAGTGATCTGCAGCCACTGAGGCAGGACATAGAGCAGAGCAGAGGACTGTGCCCCCGAGGCACCCTAGTCCCTAAAGTCATCCAGTCTCCACTGGCACTAAATGCACATCCCAGCCCTCGGGGCAGGGAGAAAGGGGAATTCCACCTTCCTAACACTTGTAACTCTCACTCTTAAGAGAGACGCTGGCAATACATGAGCCGCAGCATCGGATGTAAAAATATCCGGGGCTCCCTTTGTATGACAAATAAACTTAAGGGCATAGGACAGAGGGACACAGTAATGTTTCCTTTTGTTCCAGTTCTGGTAATGGCTGCAGGGCTAGAAGGCAATTCAGTCACTGAGAACCAGATCCAAACTGCTCCTTGACTCTGCCTACAAGTAGTGACCCAGGTGACAGTGATGCTTTCTGTTGGGCAAACCAGCACCGCATCCGAATTTGAATGCGCTCCTTGTTTCCCCAGAGATCTCTGAACCTATGTTCAGACAGGGATGGGGACTTTGGCACTAAGGATGTGCCTGAATCAGGACAGCAGCTCAAAGGGCAGCGTAAGTCAGCCCTGGTCCCGTGTGCCAGCCAGCCACAGCCTTGCCAGTTTGCCTCCAGTTGTGTGCAAAGAAACTCCCTTCTCTCATTTTCCCGAGTAGTTAATACTGCCTTCTCTTCTTGACAGCTGCTCAGCAGGCACAAGCCAGAAGGATAACAGCATCACTCTGATCTCCATGAAGAACATCAACATGAACAACAGCATGAGTTACCCACCGTCAGAAAAGGTTTCCCTTTTAAGCCTTGCTTTTTAGAGAGTTAGCTGGGGATTATTTATCTTGCTGGATAAGAGCATGCCTTTGAGTTATTTCTTTGCTCTCTAATTCCTTCAGAAAGATAATTAAAAAAACCAGCTGCCGTCAAACTCTTAAAGGTCCAAACTGGTTCCAGTGAGCCTGGTGAACAGTTTGGATGCCACCTCAGGTTTATCCAAGCTGCCTGAACTCAAGGCATCACGTATACCTCACGTATATAGGTGCCATCACCTAGGGCCAGCCATCAGAGCTAGAGTGGTTTGTCATTAAATGAAGAGGTAAATAAGCCAGCTTTCGTGAAGGTGTCAGCCTCTAGTCCAAGCTTACCGCACTCCTGCTCCGCAGGTGATATTGGAGCACATTCCCATCAGTACTCTCAGAGCCATCCCACACGAGTAATTCACATCATTTTAAGTTGTTTTAAAGCTAAACTAGCACTGGGACTGGGTTTGAGGGAACATATTGCTTAGCTTTTTTTGCCAGCCCAAACAGGCTGCTGATGCGCCATGTTTTGTTCTTTTTGCAGGTGCTATGAAGCCAAGGGCCCAGAGCTTGAAGCTGACACGTGACAACCAGCAGTGACTTTCTAGGTTCCTTTTTTTTTTTCTTTTCCTTTGGGGAAAGAGCAAAGGTAGACTTTATATATAAATTATTACGCCCTTTCTGGTCAATACATTTACAGTAGCATCCCACATAGCTTCCCCACCTGGGGTCTAAGGGCTTTCTCCAGTTACAGCCTGCCATGCTCAATGGTTATCTATTTTTTATATGCCTTCAAACCCTCAGATTATTCCAGCAGCAAGAAGCACCAAGGAACCATCTACTTGGCTAATGAACTGCTGTCTTAGATTAATGGCCTTTATAGTCTGTGCCAGCCAGTCACAGGCTCGTTAATCAGTATAGCCCCACATTGAGTCAAACCCGTGCGTTAGAAAAGCGTGATCTGAAGCTGAAGGCCTAATGGGACTTAAATGGTCAAGTGCTAGGTCAAACCCCAGCACGACTGCTCCAAGCCCCTCATCCTTGGTGCCCTCATTGTCCCCACAGCGGTGGGGATGATCATATCCACCTACCTCACAGGGTTGTTGTGAGGCTATGTTAATCAATGTCTGTAAAGCATTTGGAGAGCCATGAATTAAAGGTGCTGCTGAAATGCAAATTGCCATCTTAAATACTTTATTATTAATAACTGAGCTTCAGGCAGGCAGATCGTTATCTTCCCACAAGCCCAACATGCTCAAAGAAGGCTCATCTTAAGTGTAAAGAACAAGGTCTCTGCATAGACAGGGTTTTATTTGAGTGTAAAAAGGAGTGGCCACAAGCAAAACGCTGAGCTACTTCAGCTCCTGAAGTTTGGTAGCCCGAGTTTTCTAGGAGAGCTTCCATCTTCTTCACCACCGCTTTCCCAGAGCTTCCTGATAGACCACAAAAGCAGCATCCCCTTCCACAGATCAGCCAGAGCACCCACCTCACCGCAGCACCAAGGACCACCAGTGCACACCCAAGTCGCCACGATAACGAGAACAGCCCTCCGTTAGGCTCCACAGTGCAACGGCTCACGCTTGGAGCCAGCTGGTTCACAACCCCAGCCGGCTCAGACCCAGCCGCCAGTCACTTTTACTGCCTACAGCAAGATACATCCTTATAAGCCAAGCGACCGAGGGTGATGGAGACGTCGATACCCAGCCTCCACGTGACCCTAAGAGAAACGATGCGCTGTTGGGTATTTCTGGACGTCGCAGCTGCCTCATTCAGCAGCGTAACGTACTAAAGCGCTAACTCTGCAACTACCTTTGTCTCTGTCCATCTTCACCACGACTCCTGCTTGCAAGCTTCACAGCTCCGCAGTCAACACAGACCTCCAGAGCACCCAGCAGCAGTATGCCAAGATACTGTCTTCTCCTAACATGAGCATCAGTATCCGTCAATCCTGGAGGTAAACTGTGAAGACAAGGAAAAAAAGATTTAGCCAAGCACTCGAAATAGGTATCACCGCACACATTCCCCTACACAGTTCGATGAAACATTGTAATTTAGCTTCATTCAATTTTATAGCATGGATAAGAGATGTTTACTGGAATGTGCAGTGCTAGAGGTAGCTGTGCTTTGCAGCTGGCAATGAAGTGTCCAGCAAAATAAATGCAAAGTTTGCACAACTCCTGCTAAGATCCAACACGCTATCTTTAACATACACACCCGGTAGTTTGATAAGCTATTTTTTAAAGAAATGAAGCCATTCTGGTAAAATTCCTGAAAAGTAAAATGACATCACTCCACCCACCCAGCCTCTACCAGACTGGTGAGTTTGCTTAAGTACAAGATCCCAGGTGATTCCCAGCTAGGTGGATCCAGGCAGCTCCAGATCCCAGAGACCTGTGACTCAGTGCATGGAGCCTCAGAAGTAGGTTTTTAGTCCCAGGAGGACAGTGCAAAGGCAGCCGGTAAGCACCTGTAATACCAAACACTTCAGTAATCGTCAACCTTAACTAATCTCCCCTCCACGCTGACCTCTGAAAGATGGCCCCATGCTTAATTTTCCTTCCTTTGAGCTCCTTCTTCCCATAGACTCTTGAGAGTCTTGACAAATAACCTGAACCTGCTCCACTCTAAAACCGATCCACATCCAAAAGCAAAGTTCCAACTTCGACCTGTTCGAAGGGAAGACTGAATAAAAAAATAAACAATGGAGGCGATGTGACCCCCAACTTCCAGTAGCAACAGTAGCTGCTGCTCATGTGAAAGGCGAGACCTTCTCCAAGCCGCTGTGCTCCTACAAAGCACGCTGGCGGAAGACACCAACGCCCTCGCACCATCAGCTGCCACAGCACCCCGTGACTCCACTTCCCACAGCTCATTAGCCCAGCTTTAATTGGCGCACGGGCTGAGGGGAAACGAGCTGCAGCATCAGCAACGCACGGATGCAGCCGGGAGGAGTGGCAGGACAGGCCGCTGGAGGGCTTCCAACCAAGGCCTGGTCGGAAGGCACGGAGCGGGCATTCCCCCGGGCTCCTTCCGCTCTCAACGCAACGGCTCGAGACCATCTCCCATGGCCCTGCCAACGCAGCAGCGCTGCCAGGAAGGCACCTTCAGTGCCGTCACAAGACAGCGACGCCATTCCCTGAAGCCGCCGTCCCAGCCACGGCATCGACCCCACCCCGGCTTGGCCTGGCACACGCTGCGGTGGGGAGGCGAGCGGCTGAGGCTCGGCACACACGAGCCCCCACCGCGGCTCCG